ACTGTAAAAATTAGAGGACCATACCGGTACCATTAGCTTTGTCTCTTCAAGACGATTCTAATGGTACCCTCGCACCAAATTTATATAAATTGTGCAAGGTTGAATTTGAAGAAAACAAAAAAAAAAAGCGAGCATGAAAATCCCAAGTATCTCCCGCAATTCTCAATGAAAATCAAACTGTAAGAGGTGTAAGAATCAGAAGGATGAATAGATTAGAATAGGAATTTATTTGATTCAATTTGATGGAGAATTCTACCTGAACAAAGTAGTTGAAAATTGTTCTGAAACTGGACTTGGTTAGAACGATTTAGGACACCTCAAGGCTTGAATCTTCTTCTGTTAGCTTCAAGGAAGTTTAAGGATGAAGGATCAATGGAGAAATTGGATTGAAAATATGGAAAATAGGAAATTAAAAAATCAGAAAAGTGAGTTATGCAGGGAGTTTGGCAGGTGATTTTGGTTGTTCAAGATTGAGAAAATGAATGAGGTATGACCCTCTATTTTTAGGGAAACTAATTGAATGCTTAAGCATGTGAAATGATGAAGTTTGGAGGGAAATCTGTGAAGTTGCAAACATGAAAAGTGTGACTTCTATTTTTCTCAAAACTCAACCAAAGCTTACGTTTTGATGTGCTAATCATTTCTAGAAGTTCCTTAAACATGATTAGAAGTAAAAACACACAGAAGTTTTGTGCTTAGAGGCCAAATCAAGGATTTCAAATTCTGATTTTGGAGAAAACTTCAATTTCAAGGTACCATCTTTGAATCAATGGTGTGCACGATTTAGCGAACCTTAAGACTTGATTCTTGATGCATTGGAAAGATGATATCATAAACTTTACAATGTGAAAAGAATGGAATCAAATGGATGCTTGAGCTTAAAGTTATGATGAGTCAAAGTTGAGAAAAAGATGCGGACTTTTTGTACAAAGAAAAATTCTATGTTTTTTCTTCAAAATGACCTATAATGTTTTGCATCCAAACATGGCCTTTCATTTAAAATTTGCTCTTGACCAAAAAATATGGCATGAGATAGACCTCTTGAATGGCATTTTGATACTTGAACCATTTAAAAGCTCCAAAAAATGAGAAAGTTATCACTTGGTGAAGTTGGTGAAAATTCATGAGATGACCTATAATCTTTTGCATCCTTAGGGCAACCTCCATCCATTTACAAGCTTAGCACATAAAATAAGAGTTGAATTTCACATATTTAATATCATTGTGGAAAAATAATGGGCTTAAGAGGATAAAAATTGACCAAGTTATGATCTTTTGAAGTCGCGTGAGGGATTTTGATGGCCTATCTAGAGGACTTGTAATCATTCTTCATCATTAGGTATCCTCCATACAAATATTTCTTGAAACTTTTGAAGTGATTTATTGATAAACCTTTTAATAGAAGCATGTTTTTGGAATAACTCAAAAATACCAAAATATGAGCAAGATATAGCCTTTAGAAGTTCAAAACCCTAGCTCCTAGAGCAACAAAATGCCTTGGAAAACCTTTTCAATTTTGACAAACCTTCTTGCATAAATACTTTTGTCATGAAAATATAAGTTGTTAAGGGTGATAATGAGAAACCATGGCAACCATAACCACTTCCAAATATTGAGAATTGATGGAGATATGTACTTGTGATCAATAAATCAAAGACTTTTCCAATTAGGTCAAACTTATCCAATCAACCCTTGCATCTTTGGACTATCTTTGAAAACCTGAGGCATGATAGATCATAATATCCTTTGTCATGATATTACTTGAAAACATCTTCAATGATGAAGCTTGAATATCAATGATGCTTTGTTGAAGAAGGCATGAGAATAAACTCATGAACCTATAGATCAACTTGATGGAATGTGTTGTACTTTCACCTATATTATCATCAATTAGGGAAAACATTCATTGTTTTTAGTAGTTAAAAGTTAATCAATACAAAACATAGATGATCACAAAATACAAGTCAAGTTTCTTGGTGATTCCCCATGAGCAAAGCTAAAGATAAGGAGAAGAAATAAACCATAGTGTGATCTTGTTGTGATTGAGTTGATATGATATGATAGAAGAATATTAGGGGCAAAAATTGGGGTACAACAGTCACTAACAGGATTAATGTATGTGAATAGATAATGGGCTTAATGTGATTGTGCTAGAATGAAAGAGAACAAAAATGAGGATGAGTAAGTTAGGCTTAAACATAATAACATGATTCATATTAGTTTGTATATCAGGGAGGATTATGAATGCATAATTGGGGATTTGTGTTCTTACGATATTCTTAGTGTGCAAGATTAGTACCTATTGATGAAATCTTAATCAGAGAAGAGTTTGTAGCGTAGAATGAGTATCTGAGTGTTATTGTTTTTCATGAGTCTGGATACTAGTTTGTTTGGAGTGCAAAAGTTCAAGTGTGGGAGAATTTGATCAGTGCATTTTGATGCACATTCTTTTATGATTGTACTTGTTATTTCTCTAGTTTGTTTGGTTTATTTTTACTATTTTATTGTGTTTTCATATTTTAGTTTATTTTTGCCTTTATTTGATCTTCATATTTTATTTTCAGCATAAGCAGTTTTTCTTGGAAAAATCATAACTGGAGCTATGAAAGACTGTTTTACGCGTTGTGATATGCGTTGGAAAGCTGAGAGAAAGAGTTACAAATTTCATGTTGAAGCCAAAATCTAATTGGGAATTTAGAAGCCTAGAAAAATTTATTGAAGTTCTAGACTGAGAAAATAATCAGTTTTGGGCCGGGTTTGTTGTGTTTTTGGCCCAGTTGGGTTAGAAACTGGATTTGATGTTTCCCTATATCTAGTAGCAGTCGTGTTGTTGTTTGTTTTTGCCTTCTTTTGATGAATTTTACTTTGCTTTGTACGAATCTTAAGGAGAGCTAAACTTCCTCTGAGTTGATCTGTTGTATTCAGGTTCTGATACTTGAGGTTAATATAATTTTATAATTCAATTACTATTCATATCAATCCTGTTTTATGCTATTTGTTTGCTTAATCCGAATTATCATAGAGTAGCTTTGTTGTTTGATTGATTTATGTTCCCTAAATTTGATTGTGTGTTATCGTTTGCTTAATTCGTTAATTCTCTTATTTGTTAACTGTTTGCTTAATTCGGTGAAAAGGAAACATAATTCTTATAATTTCATTCTCACTTGTTAATTAATTTTATGATTGAATATGAATTGAATCCGCTTATGGCAGTGAAGTTATAGTAATTGATGATAGATAGGAAACGAAATAGCAGATTAACTTATTTTTATAATCAATTAATTTAATCAACTAATAACTTTCTTTTCCTAAATAGAAATTTAAACTCAACCCCCCATAATCATTTTCTGTTGGTTAGTTCATACAAGAATCCTTGCGATATGATACTCGAGTCACTGTTTCTAAACTACAGTTTTAAAATTACTCGTTTTGATCTGTGTGCAATAGAGATCAACTGCCATGTTAGTAATCTTCAGTTTTCAAATATATCCAAAACAATCATCATCTATGCAAACTAATGAAAAAACAAAATCCTGGTGATATTGAAATAACTAATTAATACAAACGCGGTTTGCTAGTCACACTCATATATTTCAAGCATACAAACATTCTTTCATCATCTTTTATCCTCACGACATACTAAGATCTCAGGTTCTGGTTCTATAACTTCTATGTAATTTCATAAATAGACAAATTGTAGCCACCAAAACACATCTCTACTGCTCAGTGAAGATACACTATGGAAAAGGAGACATCCATACCAATATGGAAAGGCCAACGGAACAATTTAAAGGGCATATACTAGGTGTGTGCTCAAGATACAGTAGCATCGCAAACAAATAAAGATACTACGAAAAGTAAAGGGACTTATAAGTTGTAACATTATCGACTCATTAGTCGACTTCATAGTTATATTTTTATCCATAGGAAAACATTGCTCCATATCAAGACCGTTTATTCCTAAAGAAAACAAGAAGGTAAGAGTAATTCTAAATTGGAATTACATAAGCATGATCAAAAATAGGTCATTTTTCTAAATCAAAAGAAGAACCTATTCTAGAAACCGTGATAGAAATTTAATGAAACCAATATTTGGACCAATAATAATAAAAAATTTAATGAGTACAATTGAAATGTATAGACATAAAAACACAATCAGTTAACTCAGTTTAATTCATTTGCTGCATGAAGTCATTACAAGCATTAAGAATAAAAGAACATGGCAACACATATAATAAAGAAACAACAGTTCAGTCAGTTTCATAAAATAGAAGAAACTTATAATAGTAGAAAATGATAAAATCATAAAAAAACTTAATATAATTGAAAAATGTGAAGAAAACAGGAGAGCTAAAATTGGTAGAAGAATCAAAATGCAGAAACAAAATATGTAAAAGATGAAAAACCCTTACAAAAAATATAGAAACTGTGAATGGTGAGAAACAAATCAACCTTCTATGTACTCACTATACAGATTCACATTGTTTATGCCTGAACCATGGTGATAAGAACTGATCTATCAACTCCAATAAACCAAGCTCCTACTGAAACATCTTCATTTTCTTAGTTATGAAGAACATTTCTAAAAACAAACATATAGGGCATAAAGGAGGTAGATATACAAGAGTTTGATGGCCTAGATATCGGTGAACAATTCCTTCAATTTGGAAATAAGGTTTAAACGAAACTAAATCATAAATACTAGAGATATTGGCCAAGAGAGATGTGTCGTTTATGTGACGAATCCTCATTGTTGATAGAAAACTGAATTTTACACTTTGTAGAAACTTATGAGAAAGATCTCCAAGTTCATCCATGAAAAACATGTCATTCTAACAACTAAAAAAAGGGTAGCATTATCAACATTTCGTCCGTAGGTAGAAAAAGAATTGTTTATAACAGATATTTCTTAATAGTTTCTCATAAAATGGCTTCAAATAACAATAATCGAAGGAAAAATGAGACAAGGTTAATAGTTATCACCAAGTATCTTATACCTTTCAATAGTCTGTCCTTGATTTTGAAGGACGCCTTTTACCATATAGCCAAACAAATGAACATAGCAAGCTGGAAAATCTAAAAATTGTTTAATTATCCCAATGTAATAAATATCAAATTAAAAAAAACATAAAAAATATTCAAGTGCACAGAGGAAGCAAACCACAAAAGCGAAGAACAACAACATCAAAAAAAGTTTCTTAACAACTTAGAAGTTAAAGCCATGGCAAATGAAATGAACATGAACATTGAACAAATGTTTCGGTGGATGTGAGTAGACTATAATACCCATATGAAAAGGGAATAAATTGGATCTGGAATAAGAAAATGAATATGAACATCTTCACACCATCTTCACACTGAAAAACTGGATCTGAAAAAAATACAACCGAGTAAGCAACATCTTTACACCAAAAAGATGAAGAAAACTAAGAAAAAATGACAATGAAAAAAATCAGCAAATCGCCATTACGGTTTTAGTTGTGAAATTTCAAACTCATACCACAATCGTGAATCAACAACAACAAACCCGTAGCCACTGTGAACCCTGCAAACCACACACCTGTCATACCCCAAAATTTCCCTATTTATTTTTAATTAGTTTATTCTTTATTATTATCAGTTTCTTTATAAAGTTTAGATTACTATGGATAATTTTATTGTGGGGTTTAAACCTTAAAGAGGGGATGTGTTTTAATAGAGGGTTCATGGGTTTTTCTAAATCAGAAAAGCCCATGTAATTTGTTTTTAGGCCCATTAAGGATTGTTTTGATTTATGTTAAGAGTTAGACCCATTAAGGTTTGTTAAAAGTTTGTTAATTAATGGAAAGGGGGGTGTATTGTCTTAAATGGACCATCAAAATTGGATGGCCCATTAAGAAAACTTTGTTGGCCTGATTCAAATAAAAAGGGAGGTGTTGATTATAAACTAAAGGGAGGTATGTTTCGAAATTTTGAGGCAGAAGGTCCAATTGAAGGAGGTTGGCCCATTTTTATGAAGGGATTGCTAAAGGGCTTGTTTCTTCATTTTGTGCTAAATTGATGTTAAGTTGAAGAAGGACTGTTGACTGAGGTCAATGTTTAGATTAAGCTTGCGTTATTATTATTATTACTATCATTAAACATTATTAATAATATTGCTAATAATAGTATGCTTTATTTTAATTTATTGATTGTTATTAAGACGTGTTTGACTGAAGTCAACACAAGGGATTAAGAAACCCTAATTTCCCAGCAGGAGCCATGTTCTTCAAAATTACCCAAGCCCAATGAACAAGTACTGTATGAATCTCAAAAGAAAAATGCATCTTTTGAAGCTATAAACAAGTACTGTACAAATCAAAAATTAAATGAATAAAATCAAACTATATCAATTATACAAACGAATTGTCTAGATCTTACAAACAGAATCAGATACATAATTAATTACATATCTAAAATCTATAATTTACAACAAAATCTCCTAATTCTAAATCAATCAACACTAATCAGCAACTGTAACGACAAATTACAGAAAATTTTCCTAAAGTGTCTAAAAACTAAAACTATAAATTGCCCTAATTCTAAGAGAGAAAGGGAGAGAAAGATTGAAGAGACCGAACGAAAGTGGGAGAGACAAAACAGAAAGAAGAAGAGACTCGTCCCTGTGAGCCTTCTCCCCACGTAGATCTAGGGTTTCAATTTCTGAAACCCTAAGATTTGTTCTCCTTCAAGCCGCTTCATCGTCATCTTCGTCATCATCGCCTCTCCACACCTGTGAATAAAAAGGAAGGGGATTATAAGGAAGTTACTCTGAGGGCCAAAACAAAACGAAATCACCATGACAAAGGTACTCCGATCGCACTTAGCTTATAAGTTTTTTGTTTGATTTTCTTATTGAGGTATATGGTTGGAGTTGAGGTGTAGAAGCTGTCGTTGGGTTTGGGTTGGGATAGGGTGCACCGCCGCTAGGGTTTGATGGCGTAGGGTTGTTGTTTGGAGATAGAAGAAAGGTGAGAGAGATAAGAGAATCGGGTTGAGACAGAGAAGGGAAAAATAAAATGACGGAAATGAGATGAAACTGAAAAATATAATACCCCCAATAATCTGATGCTCGCAATCCCATAGTCACTACCATACGCCATCCATCACCATCTCTTGATCATCACAAACACTCCTAATTTGTACGCCCATTGTAACACCGTGCACTCGCCTGCATGAAGTCCAAACAGACTCTCAAACATTTGTCAAACACTGGGCCTAGCTCATTGCTAATCATGTCACCCCTGTTTTTTATTTTACTATTGTGTTAGAAAATTGTATACCCCTAGCGCTATTGGGCCAAGTCCAACATCTGGACTTGGGTCCTTGCTTCATGTACCCTCCAGTTTTACTTTTTTTAGTTCAATTATACACCTCCCCCCGCGTTTTGGCCTAAATCCAATATCTGGATTTAGGGCCCTGCTTTTTATACCCCCTGAAATTACTCGCCAAACAGAAAATACACCCTCTTGTGTCTAATTAGTTTTCTTTATTTATTATATTTTATTTATTTATTTATTTACTATATTAATATTTTTAATATTTAATATTTTTATAAATTTATTTTCATTATTATTATAAAATTCAATTTTTTTATACTAACTCATTGTTAATTACTTTTAACATTGCATGGAATTATTTTTATCATGCATTAAAAATATTTTTTCTTATATCACATAGTATATTTGAAAACATTTAACCAATCACATACTAACATTTTTTATTAACTTAATTAATTCAAGACTTGGTTCAAGGAGAATTCAAAGTATTTTCATAGTCTATAAAAAATACTAACCAAACAACTCGAACTACGAATTGGGACTCTGATTCCACATAAGAGGATACATAGGCATACGATTTAAAATCATGGCGAGTTCCCCTAATTAAAATTAAAATCATATTTTCTAAAAGATTGTAAATCTAAACCCTAGTATCATTGTGAACAAGGTAGATGAGGGGTGCCTAACACCTTTCCTTCGTCTAAAGTGAGTCAAACAACATAGAATCTCTGATCAAATTAGGGTTATCCTTTATATTCTATTCCATAGGATAAAAATTAAGGGTGACGACTTTAAATTTTCAAACCGGTTACAACAACACCTTGCAACTGTGAAGCAACTTTCCATTCCATGTTTCTCTCTCTGGGGGTGGTTATAGGGTTTCAGAGGAAAGATACGAGAAGAGAGAACAAAGGAGATATGAAGGAAATGTTTGGGGTCTGCAAGAGAGAGAAACAGGGAATGAAAAGCATAAAACATGTATCGAATTTTTAGAAGATCGATTATCCAAATAAAAGAGTGACATTTTGGATTGAGTGCTTTTTTGAATTTTTTATAGAACAATTATGCCACCTGTATGCATTGATTAATTTCATTGGTCAAGAAAAACTCATTTAGTCAATTACCTCAATGGACATAATTTTATGTAACTTAATTTTGTTAGCAAGGGTATATTAGGGAGAGTATTAGTATCCTCCAAGCTTAGGTAGATAGTTGATGTGCATTAATGTGTTGTTACTTAGTCATTGAATAAATCAATATTGCAAAGACATCAACAAATATCTTCCTTATTAATTATATGTATCCTTCTTAAATCTATTTTGAACTAGTCAATTAAATCATTGAAGTTATTTGTTTATGATCAATTTACCAAATAAAAACTATGAACAAAAGATATACCAAAACCCATAATGGTGTTTCTGATTTTGTTACACTTATAGAGTGCTACTTTTATAGACATTAAAAATGAAAAGTTTATTAATTATAATCTATATTGATAACTTAAAAAATGTATTGGTATATTTCCCCCACAATTCAAACTTTTTTGCTCTACCGTCAATTGATCTGAATGATAACACCTAATATTTAGTGAAGTCTTTGGTGACAACTTTCAAAGGGAGAGTTGATATAAATTATCCAAAAATATATCTAGTAATCTCTGATGACTGCATTTGATCAATAATTATGTTAAACCTCGTCAGTTAGAAGGATTAAGTGATTCTATTTAAAGTGCTAATCAATGTTGAGTTAAGTAAGGAATTTGAAGATCAAAATTTGTGAAAATAAGGAAGCGTGAAAGTTTGTCTGGTCTTGCTCTTAGTGTATTTCGGATTGATTAGTTTATCATAAAAGGTATAAGAGTAATTTTCAAGATATTAAGGAAATCACTCACACACACTCAAAAGGTTTTCAAAAACTCTCTTAAAATTTCTAAAAATATTTTATATGCATGCTTAATTGATTATTGAATAGTTTAATCAATTGGGATAGCTTTTTATACTTTTTAATCGATTACCACATTAGGTTTAATTGATTAATATATTTCTAACATCACCAAATTTGTTAAAGGAGCCCTTAGTTTATTAATGATGGCGGAATTAAAAAAACCTTCTATATTTGAACCGATTAATCAATTACCAACTAAGACTAATCGATAAAAATCATTAATTTGGCTCATGGATTAGTTTCTTTTCAAGCCAAATATTTTTATATATAAAGATAGATTCTCCTTTTTTTTCATTCTAGACCAATTTTCTAACTTGATATCTTTCTATCATTCTTTCTACTTTCCTCTCTTCTATTTTCTACTTTTCACTATATATTTATAAATATAGTGTCAAGAGAATGAAAATTCCTCATGAGAATTGTATTGTATTGGTGTTATGCTAAATATTATTTATTCAAAAGTCTGAGTCTCTTGTGTAAAATATTGCTACAGTTTTGTGGGTGTTATAAGCTAAACATACAAAAGCTTAAAGGTTGTGGGTTTTAGATTAGCCTGCGTAAAAGCTTTGTGTGGTTTTTAGCTTAACCAGGTCAAAATTATGTTTGCTTATGAGTTTAGCATGTGTAAAAGATATGTTTGGTTTTTAACTTAGCCTATTTAAAAGCTCTGTTTGGTTTTGAGCTTAGGATGTATAAAACCTTTGTTTAGTGTTGAACTCAACCATTGAAAACTTTGTTTATTGTAAGAAGGTTCTTGGGTAGATCTTGTAAAAGGCTAGAGACATATTTTTGTTTCTTGCATCATTCCAGTGTATTTCTTTCCTTGCATAAACATATTCAACAATCTAATTAAACACTTAGTAGTTGGATAATAAAAGATATTCACAAATATAAACCATAATAAATAGAAATGAATGTAGATGCTTAAAATAATAAAAATTATCGCAATATTTTTAATATTTAATGCCAATTCCCGACAACGACACTATTTTATTAGTAGAAATATCGTTACTTGAAGAAACAAGAAGTAAAGTGCAATAACTCGATCAAGTGCGTAAGCATATTTTTAGGATCATGGCACTAAAAATTTGTGAATTATTATGATTTAAACAATTGCTAGAAGATTTGAAGATGCATTGTAAAAATCATGTGAAGATGTTTTAAGACAATAAATTCCATCAATGTTACACATAACTTGTTCAACATGACATCGTAAAACATGTTGAGATTGACCGATATTTCATTGAATATAAGTTTGATATTGGATTTATAATTACAACTCATGTTTCTTTTGTGTACTAAGGAGAGATGTGTTAACAAATTGT